GGCACTACCGTGGTCCGGCACAGTGCTAAGGATGCTAAAGACTGATTAGTAGTCACTTATTCAAGGAGTTTATAGACTGATAGAAATGACTAATGCCACCATGTATCTTCAATGGGTAGATATATATATGTATATATATTCGCGTACCCATATATCCTTACACATACACATAGAACTTATGAATATATTGTATTGCTCAAAATGCTTAACATGTAGAAGACTTTGGAGGAAAGGTTTTTTTGGAGGTAAGATGTGGGTTTGGGAGAAGTAACTACCAAAAGAAAATTGTTTCCTGTATTGAATGCTAAACAAATAAACAGCTCCCTTTTTAAAACTATTTATTGAAGATTTTATTATTCATATACAAAGAACCACTACAGATGCTAGCATGTGTATTCCATGAAGATGTTTGTCTGTTTTGGTTCACTGCTGAGTGCCCGATGCCTACAATAATGTTCAACACTCACTGAGTTTGTTACAAGAATTAATGAGTAATTAAAGAAACTGTATGTAAAATATTAGGTGGGAGAGTTCATATTTTTTCTTTAAATCACAGAGTAAGCATTATGGCAACCTAGACTTAATTTAGTCTAAGTTCAACAGCTAAAAAATCAAGGCCCAGAGACGCTAGGTAATCAACTCAAGGCAATCCAGGAAGTCAGATCTAGAGCTGGAGTTGGACTCATGTTTCCTAACTCCCGGTCCAGCACTGTCATCATGATCCAATGGCACCTCCCCAGATGGCCGCAATCCATCTTCACTCTTTATACCTCCTCAAGAGCCAGAAATGAATCTGACTCCAGAAGGCTGAAGGAAATGAAGACAGCTAGAGATTTTTCCATCCAACTGCTGTGTTCTGTGTTTGGTTTCACTTGAAACCAGTGGTTTCAGTTGCTATGAGTCCCTCTTCTCTCAGGAATGAGGAAGAACAAAGTAGCATCTATTTGGATACATAATTTAGATTCTGTATACTAACATAGGCTCTAACTACTTCCCTACTTCCCAAGCAAACCAAACAGCCCGAGTAGGCCAATCCATGTGGATCAACATTCCGCAGGAGCATCACACTGTCACAGTTCTTAAGCACATGTCTTCACAAATATATTATGAGCAGGTATTCATATTTTATGTGAACACATGAAATATGAATGTATGTGTGTTAGGTTTTAGGCATAAATCTGGCCTTGCTCTAGCCCCATTTAGTCTCTGCATAAATGTCTCAAAGAAAACTTCTCTGATACCCTTTCTAAATAGAGAATTCTCTAATCTTACTGAGTATTTTCCCTCTTTAAACTTAAATTCATATGTTTGAATTTTCTGGCCTTCATTGTTGGTAATCTGAAGTGGGATCTGGTGTCTGGTAGATTTGGAAATTAACTTTTGGTTAACAGTGACTACTCACCCTGATGCTGTTGTTATCTGTCCAACTACACACAAAAAAGAGATGATGACAGGGAAGATTCTTGATCAAAGAGTTGTATTCACAGAAGTGTGATGAAGGGCTTTCAAACTCATTGTGTACAAATTAAGAGTCCATCTCACCTCAGTCAGGATGGATATCATTTAGAAAACAGAATACAACAAATGCTGGTGAGGACTGGTGGGAAGGGAATATAATGACTCTTACACAGTTTATTGTAAATTAGTGAAGCCACTATGGAAATCAGTGTGGAGGTACCTTTGTAGGCAAAAAAATAGAACTACCATATGACCCAGTGATACCACTGCTGAGCATATACGAGAAATTTAAGTCAGCATACAATAGTGAGACCTGAACACTCATATTTAGAGCAGCACAATTGCCAGTGGCCAAGTTATAGAATCAGTTTAGGTGTCCAGTGACTAATGAATAGATTTAAAAAGTGTGGTATATATACACATTGGAGTATTATACAGCTATAAAGAAAAATGAAATCATGTCATTTGCAGGAAAATGGATGGAACTGGCTATCATCTATCATCTTGTTACGTGAAATTTTTTTGGTGGTACTGGCTTAGAACTCAGGGCTTTGTGTTTGCTAGGCAGGTGCTCTACAGCCTGAGCCACACCTCCAGCCCTCAGCCAGGCTTAGAAAGAAAGACAAATATAGCATGTTTTATCTCATGTGTAGAATCTAGGAAAAAAAAAAAAACCTTGAAAGTAAAAGTGAAACTATTAGGAAAAGGAAGGGAGTGGTGGTGAATATGATCAAAGTGTGTTCTGGCTTTTATTTTTTTTAAGAAGGGATCTCACTATGCAACCCAGGCTGGCCTTGAACTCAAAGTCCGCCTGAGTGCTGAGTTTACAGGGGTTATTGTTATACCCAGCATGAAACACATTATATGCATGTATGAAATGGTCACAGTGAAATCCATTGTATGGTACAATTAAGATATGCTAACTAAAAAAAAGAGAAGAAAAATTTTATGAAAGACTTTTTTGATATTTCATCTTTTTAAAAATGTCCATCAAAGGATGCCCCCTTTTAGCTGATTTACCCTGAGCATCCTGTCTTTCCCTCTCTGGACTATCTTCATGTCCTTGTGCACGGCAGCAGTAGCAACATGCAGGGCTGCTGGGAGATGACCCATCCTCTGTAGGGCTCAATGCAGGAATATGGAAGAAGAAGAAAAGGGGGCTTGTGTTTGGAGAAACATGAGATATGCTCTGAGGACTTGCAAAATAATTGTGAAGAATTTTTTTTTATTTTTTGTTTTCTACTTTAAACTGCTGTGACCTTGGGGAGATCAGCTAAACTCCTACTCCTCAGTAAATACGAGAAAGCACACAGGTGCTTTGTGCATGTTTATTACTGTGAAGTAAACAGCAGCAGAAATAAAAACAATTTTTGTTTAGAATATTTAAGAATGTTTCCAAAATAGTAGCTCCTCTTAATTGAACTACATATTGCATATTATGTGATCTGCTTCCCATTTAATCCTAATAACTATCTGCAGGTGGATGTTTTTAAGTTCAGTCTTACAGAGAATGATACTGAGGTGTAGAGAGGTTAAGTCACTTGTCTACATCACAGCCAGTAAGTAGCAGGGTCAAGAGCTACCAGGAATTAACCAGCTCCACAGGCTGCCTTCCACATTCCCATATTGCTCTGCCTTCATTACTGAGCAATCAGAATGAAAATAATTTTCCTAAGCGATATTAATCAGATTTCCTGCTGAATTATTACATGTATGTTTATGTTCTCTACTAATGTGTGAACTTCCAGGGGAGAGGGAGCTGTCTTAATTCCTATTTTTGTCCCCACTTCTCAGCACAGTTCAAAGTACTAAGTATATAATAACACGATCCTCACCATAACTTTGTAAGATAGACACTATTAGTATCTTTATTCCACAAATGAAAAACAAAGGAGTCACAAAGAGGTTATGTAATGTCCCTGGAATGTCCTAGAAGTACTCATCCTTCCTTGGGTCTCTTCTTTCTAGGCATGGGGAAGGATCCCTTTCCCTGTCTTCTCACAGTTAGATGGGCTTGTGACCAGTAACGGTCAATAAGCTGTGAGTAGAATTGATATGTGTCACTTCTGTGTATGGGGGAGCATTTACTCACTGCTATGAGACTTCCTGGTGCTCAAAAGAGCTGAAGTGACCCTACACCTAGCAGATGCTAGAGTCTCCATCACCCTGGTTCCCTGCATGACTATGGAGCACAGCTTCCTCTTACGCATAAGAATAAACCTGGATGTTTTAAAGTTTTCACAGCAAACCTAAATCATCTTGACTAACACATAAGATTAGAACACCAGCAGGGAATGGAGTAGAGATTCAAACCCAGGTAATTTGGCTGCCAAGCCCATGCCTTAAATCACCATCCTATATGTGATTAGCAGGTATCTATTGATTAGTAAAAGATAGATGGCACGAGGCTTTTGTTATCCACCCACACTTTCATCATTCAGAACCAGCTTTGGTGTGTCTAATGCATTTCTTTTTCTAAAAATGCCATCTCATTTTCATCTTGAAGTACTACGTAATTTTGATATTTATAGCAAAATTAATGTATCTAATTACTACAATTATTCATCTTGAACAACAGTCTTTTGAAGGTATATGACTAAATTAGAGTTTTCAGATTTCATTAAAATTTAAACATTTGGTTGGTTTGATTTAGTCATTTTTGACTCTGTATATTTGAAATGACAGGACTACCAGTCAAATGAAACCTTAATCACAATTGGATCTTCAATAACTAATAAAAAATATAGTTAATATGACAGCAAAAGGCAGTTCTCCACAGAAGATATCCATAGGTGCTTTTGAATTTATTTGAAAATGATAAAACATCTTGAACTTTCAGAAAATAACGTAGGGAAAAAGTGATTCATATTTCAACCATTTATTACAATTATTTTCATTTCCACATTATCTTTATAGTTTTGATGTCATTTTAGTTTGTTACTTAATATACCACATATATTTTTCAAAATTTGCTAATGCAAAAGTTCCTATTTATGTAGTCAAACCATTATTTATCAATCCCCTGTACTTAAAATAAAGCTACCTTGTTAAAATAGATAGAAATAATTTGTTAAAGAAAACTTATGACTTTATTGCATGATATCAAGAGCCTTATCTATTTTTTATTTTGCAGTTTATAGGACGCTTAAAAATACTTAATTAAACCCTGCTGTTTTCTGTATTGAGAAGCATGGAAGGAAATACAGAGTTAGGAACAGTTTCAGTTTTCCCAACATGTGATGTACATTGTGTTCTCATGTCTTAAGGGTGACTGGATGAGTCAAAGTGTGCACTAGGTTGTTGTGGATGCCATAACAAAACACTCCAGACTTTGTAGCTTAAATAACAGAAACTTATTTTCTTACAGTTCAGAAGGAGGCTGAAAAATCCAAGATCATGTTGCCAGCATGGTTTGGTTGTGGTGCCTTCTCTGTGTGTGTATGTGTGTGTGTGTGTGTTTATGAGAATCTTCCTCTTCTTATAAAGCCACAGTTTTATCAGATCACCCTTATAACCTCATTTAACTTTATTTTCCTCTTTAGGGACCTATCCCCAGATACAGTCACATTGCAGGTAAGAGTTTTAATGTATAAATTTTGGTGGAGCACAATTCAGACCATAATAAAGTGTCATTAAGGTGACAGAGTCAATTGGCCAAAAAGAATGGAACGTAATTAAATTTTAATAGATTTCTAAAACTTAGTATGCTTTCACAGAGGACCTTACACAGTTTTCTTTTTCTCAATGACAGTTATGTCAGGTTATCAAGTTTCCCTCTGGACCTTAGTACCAGGGAGCTCAGATCCCTGCCCCATTCCAGTAACTAACATGGTCCTTACTAGAATAGGTTCAGTCTTTTTTTCCTTCACTTATTTCCCCCATTACTGTACTTGTCTCTTTTTTGTCAACCAACTCATCTCTCTCTCCCCTCCTTCTTCCCCTGTCTGGAGAAAGGATGAGGTTGAAATTAAAGAAATAAACCAACAATAATTCCAGTAGTCACCAGCTTTTAGTTTCCTGTTCACATATTATAAATTTTTAGTGGTATTCTATGTAATTTTTACTGGAACATATTGTACTTAATAACCAAGGAACAGTGGCCAAACAATGTTGCCTTCCCTTAGGGCATGAATGTTCTCCCATGTATTACTCTCTCTGTGTAGATTTTATCTTTTCTAACATTTAAATAATCTTAAAAACTGATTATTATCAATAGTCCTTGAATAAGAGACCAGTGTGAAAATACTCAATTTGCAAAAGATAGTGTTGAACTAAGTTAAGTTGTGAGGTCCTGAAAATACTGGATTATAGTGAAAATTTCTCCTTAATCATGACTACAGTGGTTAAAATTTAATGCAGCATTGACAGTGAGGTATGGTTCAACTAATGGTCTCTGTACTTGCTTTATGAAAGCTAAGGAAAGATTTATGCTACAAACAGAATCTGTATTCATGGAAATAGGCAGCTTAGTTTTCAAATATCCCCAGCACATAACAAGGCCATTTGCTCTGTTTTATGTTTTTCATGTATTTATTGGCTTGTAATAATAACCATGACCTCCAAAGGCTGGACATTTACTGGGAACTAATGATCTGTCTAGTTAGAGACCCAAAGATTCATGCTGAGGTCATTAATCAGCCCACCATCCCAAAATTTATGGGTAACACCTTCTTATATCAGTCATCATGACTCAGTCCTCTAGGCCAAATAATGTCTACGCTGCAGGCAAACTTTGCTGAATACCACAGCATACTGTTAATCATACCAGTGTAAACCAGCATCAGAAATTCCACACTGCATTGGACATATCTTCTATGATTGTCACTCTTCTAAAGCCTTAAGCCTGTGTCTCAAAAGATCAGAATATGGGACAGGTCATTAACTCTCTTCTTCAAACCATTGGTCAGTATTAAAATTATTTCAAAACATTTTCATATATGAATCCTATTAAATGAGATTTGAATATAATTTGGAAACTGTGATGGATTTTGTAAATAGTAAAAGTACAAGTAAGCCCAATATTCCATTTCTTTGTTTGGCTTTGGCTTGTTAGCAATTACAATCATTAAGTGAACTCTGAGGTAGGTTATCTGTTGATAGCACATGTGCTCCACTATCCTCATCTCCAGGTATAACAACCATTCACATAGCATTTACATTGTATTAGGTATTATAAGTAATCTAGAGATGATTTGAAGTAGTCAGGAGGAAATGCACAGGCCATTTTATATAAAGTACTTGAGCACTGGAGGATTTTGGTATCCTCTGGGGTCCTGGAACCACCCCGCCCATGGATACTGAGAGATGACTGTACATCGAAAGTTTGATTATTAAAGGGATGCTGATCCAGATATTCAAATAGTCCATCCTCTAGCACTATGTTTCTCCTGTGACTTTAGAGTACAGGAGTTCTGGGGTCCTCTCATTCTGTTACCTAAGACTTTTAGTTCTGCAATTCTATAAAAGGCAGAAATGTGAAGTTGAATATCCACAGCTTGTATATCCTTGATCACAGGATGGTGTCTGCAAACCACCCAGCCCTTCAATAGCAATGAATTATAAAAGCGAAGTGGATGAATGCAAAGTGCTAGAAAGTGTGGTAGACTAGACTGTGCCCTGGAGCTGTCTGTCTGCAGGGAGACTGGAGACACCCACACGTTCTTTCAAAGCCGGAGAGCAGGGATACTAGATATGAGTAGCTGGGTGTCTGGTCAAGGGAAGAGGAGGGTGTGGCTTTGAGAAACAGAGAGAACTTTGAGACTGGAAAGATGAGCAGAGTATAGGAGAGCCAGGATGGTTGGGGTGCAGGGGGTCATTGAACCAGCTGGTTCCACAGCTCCAGGAAATGGACTTGACCAGCTGTTGTGGGCCGGGTCAAGCTCATTTTTCCTGAACGCAGTCAGTGTCCACCCAGGCACTCTAAAAAGAATGGCTACTATCAGCCTACCTTGTCAAAAAGCCCTGTGTGATTTCAAGTCACATGGGGAGGAATGGGACAAAGGGCAAGCAATAGCATATGTGCTCTTTCAGGAACCAATCTTATTATCTTGTTTCTCCAAAAGTTCCCAACAAAGAGCCTTGTGTTACCAATCAGCTGCTGGGGTTCTTTTGTTCTACCCAGATAGAAATCGCAAAAGGGAAAAGGGAAGCTTCTTCACTATTGGTGGTTCTGGGCTCTTGAGTGTCACAGGCCCATGGACTAGACTAATTAATAGACTTAGAGGCTTATGGCTCTGTGTCTAGAGGCCCAAGCTCTAAGGGGCAGAGACATAGCTCTAGGTGCTCAGGTCTGAGGCTTGCTGCTTTGTCAGGGGCCCCATACTCAGTAACCAGTGATCCATGGCTCATGGCAACAGCTAGCATTGCAGTAGCAGGTGATGGTCATTTTATGGCTGTCAAGCCCCGAGTGTTGGAACCCTTGACTCCTATCAGTGTCCAGGATCTGATGGAACTGCAGTCTCTAATTCAAAGCCTTTTGCCTTCCATAGTCTTGACTTTTCACCTCTTCTCATTGTCTTTCTTCATCTTCTCTTCATGTTACCAGCTCAGCCCTCTCTACCCATGACAAAGAAAAGACCACATGAGAGGAATCTTTTCTTGGGCCTAATGTTGCAACACAGGGGGCAGCACTGGTGGGAGCATCCTGGCTGACTCAAAAAGTGAGCTGAACGGCTTGGTCATGTAGTCAAATGTGGTTGGGGGTGTGTGTGGGGGGGTGCGTGTCATGCATAAGAAGAATGTATTTGCACCAGCCGTAGCTTAGTTTCCAGTTCCACCAATCACTGGCTTCTTGCTGAGTTACTGAGGAGTTTACTCTGCCTCCCATCTAAAGTGAGAATAGCTTCAGGGTCATCTAAAGTTCACCCAGGCTTGTTTTGCTTAGGATTCTGCCTTGCAAGACTAGCACACATTGTCAGGATCAGTTGTGACTTGAGTGAAGCCTCCTGGAGCAGGAGTCACAGCTTCAGTTGCAGTGGTGCTTGCAGCTTGAGTGTTCTCTGTGTGATCAGAAAGTGTCCCAAACAGCCAGATGTCCCTCAGGGCAGTCCCGCTGGTCACCAGAGAAGGAGCTGTGCTGCTGATAGCTCCCCACTCCAGGCTGGTAGGCACAGGGACAAGTCTATCCACTGCCATTCAAAGGCCTGAATGGCCAGCCACTCCCAAAGTTTCACCCATTCACAGAAAAAAAAAATTATAGAGACTTAACTAGAGCTCAACACACTGCTCACATTCTTAATAGCATTTGACAGTGCTCAACAGTATTTAACAATGTCTAACAGTGTTTAACCCACTGCCAAATGCCCCTAGGGAGAACTGAGTCCCTCTAACCTGTCTCACTTGCACATAGCTAACTCTTATTTGTGTTTTTAAAATTCAACTCCAGAAGCACAGAATGAAAAGCATGATGAACTCTTCTTTCTTCCCCTCACTCTGATAACAATAAAACCCCTTCTCTTTATCGTTCGTGTAACCCTTGGTGCTTCGGTTCTTTGAACAGTAGACAAAGGTTTTCATTCCATATTTAGGCTATTTCTGAAATACCGTGTTCTATTCTAGACGACACTTTTGAAGAAGGACTTTGTTGAACTGGGACACATTCAAAAGAGGATGACCAAGATGGTTAGGAGCCTATAAATCATGTCATATGAGCTGCAGTTGGTTGTACTTAAAGTGCAGGAACATAGTACTCCATAGGAGGTAACAGCTGGCTTCAAACAAAGTGAAGGATTGCCAGGAAGAGACGGGCTTGTTTAATATTTCTCCTGTGAGGAGAAGCTGCAGGGAGCTAATTTTGGCTAGCATTATCAAGAACTTTTAAATGATTAGAATAATCTAGAAATGGAAGGGGCTGCCCCAGGGGGCCTTGATTTACAATCAAGGAAGGTGTTGACTCAGAGTCCATACCCCATGTGTAGAGATTATTATAGGAGAGGGTAGACAATTAGGAGGAAAAAGATTTCTAAGATCACTTTCAGACATTTAAACGCTGGTTAAGAATATTTGACCTCCACCAACACACACTGAAGATTTTATGGTTTCTAAGGCCTGGGAATGGGTATTGGGGAGTGTGACAGGTTGGATGTGAGGCGAGAGGGACAAGAGAAAATAGGAAGGTAGCAGGCAAATGAGAAAAAGCCCAAGAATGGGGGGGGGAACCCTGAAAGAAGGCTCCCTTAGCCACTTCACTTTGCAGTTTTGTTTTGTTGGTTGCTTGGCTAATTTATTTTTTTTCCAGGAAGGGCCAGGTTTGTTTACCTTGTGTGGGGAGGTTCCACATAGGTCAGTATGTTGATAGACAACTCTCCTCTTTCTCCTCTCTACTAGGTCCTTTCCGTAAATCATGCCCTATTTATCTGGTGCCAACCCCGAAGAGTTGGAGTGGCAGATTTAAAGATGAAATGATAAACAGTTTAAATTAACCTATGGAGTTCAGGGTTGAGTTCTATTTTTATTCTGTTGTGTAGCCAGTTGTTGGAAGTTTGATTCTAATACCTGATGTGCTTCTTCTACCTTGTCTTTTAATTGATTTTGTCAGCCTTATTTGATTTTGTTTTGATTGGAGGACTGCTTTATAGTCTGGGATTTATCGTCACATAATGCAACAGACCAAAGACAGAGCTACCCTGGCTGCAACCACTGTCCAACGGTCCAAACATTTCCCCTTCCCTCCCCCCCTGCAACTTACATTATAGCCACATCTGGCACATTGCATAAAATCCCTTCTGATTTATTGGTATGGGATATGAAGGCATTTTGAAAGCAGAAACAAACTGTACCAAAGTAAATTGTCATTATAATTGCAGTTCTAAGGAAGAGGTTTATGTAGATATGTGCTACTAACTTACCAGCCGAACGTGGTTTTCTGATCCACTCTTGGAATGGGTGCAGTTGATATTGTAAATTGGCATATCTAGTTTTTGCTGACTTGAATTTATCTGTAGTTTTAAAATGGTCTTTCTCCTAGGCACATGTTCCCAGATGAAGTTCTATCATTGATTCTCTGCTTTCCTACTCAAAACATCCCATGCCACCTTACTAAGCCTTAGACAACAGACACATTCTCTTTAAACTTCACGAAGTGGCAAGTTGGCAACAGAAATGTTTTTGATTTCTATTTAAAAATACAGTAACAATGTGCACTTTGGTGAGCACATGCTTAAGAAAGTAACTGTTTTTAACTAAGGTACACCAAGTTACTGCTGGGCACAGCTGAATCATCTTGCATGAAGGGTTGCTAGACATCCAGTACTACTTGCATTGCAATCAAATTATTGCATTATGTGTAATCTTACTAAAAAAATCATAGATTTACTTTTAGGCGTAATGATCATTGTTTAACTACCTATTATGCAATTGTTCATGTGGTGACTGGATTTTTTTTCTTTTTAAGGGTCTGTGTTTTCTTTCTCAACTAAACTTTTAAAGATCTGACCACAGGTAACATCTAGGGTAAGACTGTGTAAATGCATGCAGTGACTGCTTAAATCTTTATTGTTATGGATTAATTGAGATAACTTTTGTCTGTCTTATTGTATCATCAGTTGTAAAGAGATGATCACCAGTTTGAAAACTCTAGCTATAAGGGAAAATTAAGAGCAACAAAAGAAAGATAGAGCCAGAAAACCATGTGGATCACTGAAATTGACCTTAGTTGTATAGGAAAACTGAGGACATGATACCATATTCAGAAAACCTGAAAAAAACCTTTTTTTGGTAGTACTGGGGTTTTAACTCAGGTCCTCAGGCTTGCTAGGCAGGTACTCTACCACTTGAGCCATTCTGCCAGTAAAACCTGAAGTTTTTGAAAAAAATACCTCAAATATTTCTACTGCCCTTGTCTTGCAAAAAAGAATAAAATTTCTAAAACAAACGTTTTAAACATGACAAAAAGAATCTAGACAAAAATCAAAGTCATGAAAGATGACATTTATCTGGATCAAATTTTTTCTCTTTCATCTCCATTCTTGTTCATGATTGGCAAGAAAGGAAAGGAGAGAAAAGCACATTGAAAAAGTTTCCACTACGACTCCTTGCCAGACCTAACTCATATGAGATTTTGCAGAAATCCCATTTCTTTCAAGACAAATAAAAGGAAGACAAGGCCAAAAGAGCCAGGTAAGGGTTTATAGATGCTTGTCTAGATGAAGACAGAGAACACCAGGCAGCCAGCACTTCTAAAGATAATTGTAATGATGATCCAAAACTACTTTGCACTGATTTGATGATGGGATCCTAGCAGATTCCAAAAGCAGGAGAGGAGAGAGCACACAAGGCGATCATTGTTGGCCTTGTATTAGGAATTGCCATCCCTGAAATAAACAGCTGTCTTCATAGCATAGAGCCTCCTTTGTCATCCAGTCCATCTGTGCTTGAATTGAAAACATGTAACTCAGAAGATGAATTTTGGGCGCCGAGCCTGAAAGATAAGATGTCTTCCCAAGAAGACATGGTAAGTCCTGAAAAAATAGGCAGTGGTTTTTATTACGGTCAAGATATTTTTCCAACTCAGAAGCCTTTAAAAAAAATCAGGACTTGTCCTCAGTTGTCTTAGTAGTCATTGTAGTTCTTTGTCTTATCAATGTCCAACTCTGGGTTAAAGTAGAGCAGGAGACTCTTTCAGAGATTCTGCAGAAGTTGGGAAGAGACCTTCAAGGGCAGAAATAGTTCAAGAGTATAGCTATCTCCCTTGGAGCCACTTAAACTCCTCTAAGGCAGTCAGAAACCAGGTAGTCACCCAAGAAACCAGCCAGGTGGACAATTTCTCTAGTTCTTCAGCCAGAGAGAGAAAGTAGGGGTGGATGAAACAGCCTCTGGGTATGAGTTTGCCTGGAAAAAGTAGGTCATGGTTAAAAGGGGCTGAGAGTATATTTTGTAATATGCTGGAAGCTGGTGATAGAGTTCATGTGACTTATGAAAGTGTTTTGGAGACTGTGAGTCTTACAGTGGGCAATAATGAAGACTTGGGTACATTGACTGCCATTCTTAGGGAAAGTGTGCTGGTATCAAGTTGCAAAAAAACTGATGAGACAAAATGTATTCAGACAAAATTGATTTCATCTTTTCACTTAAAAAGCAGATATGATACTAATGTTCTTTTTCTTTTCTTTTGGTTGTACTAGGGATTAAACTCAAGGCACTTGAGCTACACCCCCAGTCCTTTTGCTTTTAGTCGTTTTTCAGATAGGATCTCTTGCTAACTCTTCCTGGGCTGGCCTCAGACTGTGATGTTACTACCTCCTGAATAGCTGGGAGTATAGGCATTCACTACTATGCCAAGCCCATGATACTAATATTCTTAAGGAATCTTTAGTGAAAATAAAAAACAACAAAGGGAAGTGTTTTTTTATTTTGTTGTTGTTGTTGTTGTTTTGTTTTTGAGACAGGGTTTGTCATGTAGCACAGGTTGCCTTAGAACTTGCCATGTGGCCCAGGCTGGCCTCAAACTTGTGACCCTCCTGCCTCAGCCTCCTGAATTCTGGGATTACAGGTGTCTGTCACACACACACACAGTGTTTGAGTCACATTTCTGTTACTATAATAAAATACAGGATTTATTTTGGCTT